ATTCAGTACGTAACTACATGAATTAAAAGTCACGTGGATTATTTTAAAACGAATCTAGTCGTTAATGTCAGCCATATAAAGGAAAGGAATGCTCAGTATTTTAATTTAGATAAATTAAATTTTTTGAAACTGTTGTATTTGATTACACTTTATATATAATAATAAATCATAAAGAAAAATAAGATATTGTAATTTATTATTTATCAAATATCAAACCTTATTCTTTGACATAAATAAATATACAAGTCTCCCAAAAATATTTATGTAAGAATATCTATTTTATATTTAAAATATTTGGTTTAAAATACTCGTAACATGTTTTCGTCACGAAAACAAACAAACAAAAAAAATTACAATGAAAAAAAAAAAAAAAAAAAAACGGCGAATACCGGGAATAGATGAATTGTCACGGAACTTTTGGAAAAGAGGACGTAGCTCCCAGCAGTAAATAATATGCTTAACATAATATTTTTTCTGAGTAGTACGAAATAACCAATTTATATTTTTACATTAAATTATATCAAAACAGAAACTTTTACTTATATTTATATTAAAAGCATGCGATTTTAATATAAAAAAGCCACGTATTATTAAACACGCGATATTATACTAAGTAATATGCGTGTGTTCACGCATATCGCCAGTGTATTTTCTTTTTGTTATTTAGAGGAAATAACTCTGTCTTATTGAGATTTTCCTTATTTATTATAACAAATATACAAGTATAAATAAGTACTGTATATAGGCCTAGATATTTTTATTTATTTATACTATTTCCGCCCTGTGAGCACTAAGAGGGCCTCTTAGAGAGGCCCATTATGGGTTCGGCCAGGCCCACAATGGGGCGACCGGGTGGTGAGGGACGGGGCCCGACATATCCGAACGACTACCCCCCGAAAAATTCCTGGGGATTCCTTGACTCGTCCGGATTCGTTCCCGGGTTACCCGGAGCGGTAAGCTGCCACCTTGACCGCTCGGCCATCCGGCCATAGGATTAGCGGCTAAAATAAACGAGTATTGGTCGAGGTAATGGTTGAATATTCGAAATAGCTGAAGTGACACGATTATATAACTTCTGTTATTTAATGAATGCTACATTTGGATATAATATAAATATAAATAACTTAACATAATTATTATTTTAAGAAATGTGATTGACGACATATAAAAAGAAATAAAATACAGGCTAAAAGCACCTAAAAACGAGAACATTGAAATGATGCATCTACATCATCGATGAAAAGTTTAAATTCCTTTGTTATAATTAAGCTGCAATTTGAAAAAATTGTAGACTTATAAATTCCCACTGTCGTCTGTCTGTCCATCTGCCCTTCCTTAATTAATCTGGAGAAAGGAGTATGATAGATAAATTTCGAGACAAGATATGGAATCTTAGGCGCTGGAGGCCCCGATTAACTAAATTCGAGCTTTCAGTTTATACTGAATGTCACATTNATAATTTTAATCTTAATTCTGGAATATTACGCGTACTTCGTTTATTTTAATGGTTTGAAACTTGTGACCAAAAGAGGAACAGTTTAGTGAAATTTTTAAAATTCATATAATATTCTTTATGAAAAACCAAAGGTAGAAATATAAATTCTTATAATTTTAGTGATCCATTTTTTAATATGATATTATTTAGTGCCAATAATTAAACGTCTTAATTAAGCAACACTTAGTATTTCAAGAAACACTGTGTAATGCGATTACAATCTGTATTTCAAAATGATTAACATAATTATTAATACAGGATGATCGAATAATCGCAAGAGGCACGACTTTTACTGGAATTATTTTATATTTAATTTCTACTGAAAGGTTGGTAGCACTAAATAGTCTTGACTTAAGTTTTCCAAAAGTATACAGTGATATCTCGTACTTGGAACGTTCCTGAGTTCGAACGCTAAATTCGAGAGAAATTCGATCAGGAGTTCGAACGGTGCTTCTACGTTCGAAAGTAACGAGTAGTGCAAAAATAAGCTGTCTGCGTCAACATCATCGGTTACATGTCTCAGTAGTCTCTCCCTCTCACTGTAAAAGGGTCTCTAGCGTGTTTTCACTTTACTTTTACTGTGTTTGATTTTATACATAACTCCTATCTATTAATAACCATAGCATTCAAGAAGAGTGTGAAAACAACGAAGCCTAAGAGGAAGAAAATCACTTATGGCTGCTGCTATTTTCGTTGTGAATTTGTCTCTTTAATCCGATTTTCAGTTCGGTAGACTATCATATACAGCATTCAGGTTATGAATTTCCTTTATTGATTTGTTATATGCATTTCGGACTCAATTGTAATTTAAGTCCCTCTTTAGTACAAACTGTTTAAAAAATTTTATATACAATTACTTAAAAATTATATACAATTAGTGAGATTACAAAAAAAATTTTCGCGTGTAGATAATATTTACTGACACAAAACCATTAAACAATATACGTTACCTCAGATTCTGTTTTCTAAAAACTTCGGTGTATAATTGGTAACGTTGTAAAAGAATAAAAATACAGCCATTTAAAAAACACTTCAACTACATATTCACATTAATACGTTGCACCTAATATATCAATATATTTATAATTATTACTTTATAACATAGTATATTTTTTACATCAAAAAACTTAACAATACTCACACTTTACAAATGTTCATAAAAACCTTTACAATTACAACTTTTTTCAAGAAAAATTCGTATGCACTTTATTGAAATGTTGCAGCAATAATGAACGTTTTTTTCAGGTTAATTACTATTAACACACTTAAGAGGATACATTCACACTTTTACAATATATTTCACTTTAATATTTTATGTCACCAGACATTACAAACCAATTTATCTATTAGCGCCCTCTATTATATTATACCACATTTGATCTATTTGCATACCATTTGAAATGTTTATTAAATCATCTTTACATTTTATAATCTCTATATGTTCTTTAAATTTGCGTTTATACATATCTTTTTCTAAGTGAATTATTTTTATGTTATTTCTATCTATTTTACATTTACTATTTTTTATATGGTCGAACCACGGAGAATTATTATGTTTTAGTCTAATAGCTGCTTCATGTTCTTTAATTCTTAATTCTAAAGTTCTACTTGTTTCACCTATATAATTTTTCGGTTTTTGACAATCACAATTAATTTTATATACTACACCTGATTTTTTTAAATTATCCACTTTTATTTTATATTTATTATTATTATTATAAATACTACGCGAAATTTTATTGGTCAAAGATGGGGCCAACACAATATTTTCTCTTTTTAAAAATTTGTTGCAATTATTATAAATCTCATTAATATAAGGAAAACTATTATACCTCTTATCTTTTTTATATTTGGTATTAAATCTGTTGTTATAATATTGGTTGTGCCACATTTTTAATTTATAACTGGGGTAATTATTCAAAATAAACGTCTTTTCTAACTCTTTTAATTCTATTTCACGATTATTGTTATTAGTAGTTCTTGTATATATGTTTTTTAGACCCATTATATAGGTGTTCTTTTTTTATAGTTTCAGGGATGCAGGATTGATAGTAAGCTGATAAAACTAAGCAATTAATATTAATTAATAGTGATAATTTAAAAAATAAAACTATAGAACAAATAGATAATGATCAATATATAAAACTTGATATAAATCCATATGAGAAAATCAAAAAAGAATTAACTAAAATAATTAAAGACGCATATTTAAAGAACAAAATTAATGAAACTGATAAAAATTACATTCTTAATTTTAAAAATAATAGGACTCCAAAATTACAAATAAGACTAAAAACACATAAAGAGGAAGAGAAATACAGACCAATAGTTGATTTTAGATACTCTATACTTTACAATCTAGAAAACTATATTAAACAGCAATTAAAAAACATTAAAGGTTCCATCAATAGCATTAAAAATGCTGATGAAGTCATTAATAACATCCAAAAAATAAAAAAAGAAAAATCAGATACATTAATTAGTTTAGATGTAAAAAATATGTACCCAAATATAAAGTGGAAATTAATAGAAAACAGCCTAATACAACTACAAATAGATAAAACACTAATTGATCTTATAAAATTTGCATATACCAGAAATTATTTTGAAGTTTATAATGATTACTATAGACAAATAGATGGTGTCAGTATGGGGTCAAAGATGGGGCCAAAACTTGCAGAATTAGTGATGAAAAATATAGATGAAAAAATACAAAGTATCCCTGGGGTTAAAATAGTAATGAGATATGTTGATGATTATTTGTTGATTTATAACAATAAAATAACGAATGATACAATAATATTAAAAACTATAAATAATATAAATGAAGATGTAAAATTTGATATTGAATTGGAAAAATATAACCAGATAAATTTTTTAGATATAACAATTACCAACGAAGTAAACAAATTTTCTTTCAAAACTTTTAAAAAAACATGTAACGTCAATAAAACCATCAACTATCAATCCTGCATCCCTGAAACTATAAAAAAGAACACCTATATAATGGGTCTAAAAAACATATATACAAGAACTACTAATAACAATAATCGTGAAATAGAATTAAAAGAGTTAGAAAAGACGTTTATTTTGAATAATTACCCCAGTTATAAATTAAAAATGTGGCACAACCAATATTATAACAACAGATTTAATACCAAATATAAAAAAGATAAGAGGTATAATAGTTTTCCTTATATTAATGAGATTTATAATAATTGCAACAAATTTTTAAAAAGAGAAAATATTGTGTTGGCCCCATCTTTGACCAATAAAATTTCGCGTAGTATTTATAATAATAATAATAAATATAAAATAAAAGTGGATAATTTAAAAAAATCAGGTGTAGTATATAAAATTAATTGTGATTGTCAAAAACCGAAAAATTATATAGGTGAAACAAGTAGAACTTTAGAATTAAGAATTAAAGAACATGAAGCAGCTATTAGACTAAAACATAATAATTCTCCGTGGTTCGACCATATAAAAAATAGTAAATGTAAAATAGATAGAAATAACATAAAAATAATTCACTTAGAAAAAGATATGTATAAACGCAAATTTAAAGAACATATAGAGATTATAAAATGTAAAGATGATTTAATAAACATTTCAAATGGTATGCAAATAGATCAAATGTGGTATAATATAATAGAGGGCGCTAATAGATAAATTGGTTTGTAATGTCTGGTGACATAAAATATTAAAGTAAAATATATTGTAAAAGTGTGAATGTATCCTCTTAAGTGTGTTAATAGTAATTAACCTGAAAAAAACGTTCATTATTGCTGCAACATTTCAATAAAGTGCATACGAATTTTTCTTGAAAAAAGTTGTAATTGTAAAGGTTTTTATGAACATTTGTAAAGTGTGAGTATTGTTAAGTTTTTTGATGTAAAAAATATACTATGTTATAAAGTAATAATTATAAATATATTGATATATTAGGTGCAACGTATTAATGTGAATATGTAGTTGAAGTGTTTTTTAAATGGCTGTATTTTTATTCTTTTACAACGTTACCAATTATACACCGAAGTTTTTAGAAAACAGAATCTGAGGTAACGTATATTGTTTAATGGTTTTGTGTCAGTAAATATTATCTACACGCGAAAATTTTTTTTGTAATCTCACTAATTGTATATAATTTTTAAGTAATTGTATATAAAATTTTTTAAACAGTTTGTACTGAAGAGGGACTTAAATTACAATTGAGTCCGAAATGCATATAACAAATCAATAAAGGAAATTCATAACCTGAATGCTGTATATGATAGTCTACCGAACTGAAAATCGGATTAAAGAGACAAATTCACAACCTAAGAGGAAGGTTGTATTATCGAAGATTGAGGTGAAAAAGGAACTTATCGCGAAGCATGAAATCGGTACACGGGTGGCGGATCTGGCAGCCATCTTTAAGATGCGGAAGTCCATGGTGTGCATTATTCTTAAGAGTGAGGAAGTAATAAAAGCAGCAAATATAGCTAAAGGGTTGACACTAGTATTGTAACGAATAGTATATTCGGTCTCAGGCCGAATACCGAATATTCGGCCAGGAGCGTGGCCGAATAGACGAACATTCGGCCAAACTATTTGGCTTGATAAACGCACGTACGAAAATTGGCGCGCAAACCGCATTATGGCAAGGATCCTGCTCTCTATTGGCCCGCTGTCACTACGCTTAGCCAATCGCGTTAATTCTTGGCAGTTGTAGAGGACAGACAAGAGTGTCATGGAAGTATGTGATAAATGATGATATCAAATATGGATAACAATGAAATGAACTACATGCGTAAATAACGGAAAAAGAGCAGAGAAGGACCGCGAAGTAAAAATGTGAAAATAAATATAAAATTGAGTCGATAACATAATCGAACAAGTCGAGGCAGCTTATTGGCGCGAAATTAGCGATTGTCAATGACAAACAATTGTTGTCATAGTCTTCGGAAAGCTAAATGCTTGTAATGTAAGTCACTTAGCGTGCACGGTCGAAAGCCTGGGGCCGTTCGGGCTATCAAGCTGTCTCGAATCTGTGAAATCATAACTGTAACTTATATCGACGTCCTATCTGTCTCTTCTCTCCGTTATCACCAGGCTGAGTCATGTAATTGTAAAATGGGAACTCTAGGACGGAAAAGTGACGAATCGAAAGTATCGTGAGCGCCTATTATGATGTATGCACAGGTATACATGGATTAGAGCGATAGAGGAAAGAGAAAGGGAAGAGCAAAGACGAGCGCTTAAAAAGAAGGATAGGCAGGGTCAGATCCT